TGTCTGGGCTCAGTTTAAATTATGCTTGGCTCGAGCACACTAATTTGTACAGTTTTTAAGCCCAGAAGGGTCACTTCTGAGATGTTTAAAATATATGTCACATAACAGTCTTAAGGGTGTACAAGTTAACAGAGTTCCTTCTCCACTTTGGGGGAAATACCCACGCACATTGTTTCATTTAATCCTATGCCATACTGCACCCTTATAAGAAGACTAAGGCATGTATTTTCTTTTATCTTAAAACTAATGGAAGCAGGAAAGAGATGGAGCATAGCAGGCCCCCAAAAGGCAGCTACAGCACACACACAACACACACAGTGGGGGTAAGCTATTCTTTCCAAAAGTTCCTAGAGAGCAAACGCAGGCCCATCTGTAAGTTTCTTGCTAAACTTAATAATCATACCTCTCTCTGTTAGCAATCTTTTACAAGACGTAGTTTTCCTTTCAGGTTAAAGACCAAAAGAGCAACAGGCTGATTTCACCAGCTGGGCCCTGGAACCTAACCATGAATGATTTCCTGCAAAAGACTCCGAACACGAGCAGAGCTCTATGGCCAAGGGCTCAGACGTCAAGCCAAACAGCAGCTTAGTTAAGTGGGACATAGAGCTTTGACCCAAGCCAGTTGCTCTGAGCTCCAGCACAATAATATTTATTACCTTTTCTTGGAAAATTAGATGTGCAAGAGAAATACTCATTGTGAACAGGTGCTAAAGGGACAGAATTTTAACAAAAATTAAGCCTTGGGAAATAAAAGATGTTTCAAATAATGTTGAATATCAAGAAAATACCTGCTGTTTTAATCAGATACCTAAATGATTTATTTTTACAAAATGATCAAAAGAGAGGCGGTGTGCTCTGGCACTGTGGGTATGAAAGATTCTCCTCTCATTTTTAAGCTCCAGATTCTATTTGGAAACAGAGCAATTAACAAAATAATGGCAATACCAGGATATTTCTAGAGGGGAAGAGTTTGTGAATATAAAAGCCATTTTAGGAAGACTCACGGACCCATTAAATGATTTCTGAGCTCACTTTAGGTACTGATTCTAACAGTCTGAGGTAGGCATTTGAATCCAATATTTATAAATCCTGGCCCCTATTTTTAAATGGCTCTTCAAGCTCACTGCCATTTAACAGGAGAACTAAACAAACATTTTTATAACCTTTCTGTTGATGACCCTTTGAATAGCCTTGAGATTTGCTTTGCAAACTCTGATGTCATGTTGTCAGGGGTGCCTTCAAACACCTCTGTTCAACAACTAGGAAGCAGGCTGCTTTTAGAGGGTTTAGTGAATAGTTACAATATGGAAGATGGGGAGTGTACCTGACAGCCAGAACATTCCATAAATCCTCACTGATGGCTGAGCACTGATCCAAAGAACAACAGAGCAATGAGAAGGGGACATCAGGAACCTGCGGTTACAGTCAGCCAGAGGTGGTGGAGGGAAGCAAGGGCCACCACTCACTCAGGAGAGACGGTAACGGGAGACAAGGCCTTCCTCACTACAGCCTGTGCTGAGTGACACACAGCTCCGGGAGTGGCCAAATTCCCAGTTTGTGCAAGAGGAGAATTGGCCAGGTACACTAGGATCTCACAAAAGTGCATGACCACCTGAAGGGGGAGGGGTGCCAGGTATCACAACTGAGCTGTTGGTGTTAAGATAAAATGTACAATTGATTTTTAAACATTGACAGTATGTTCAGGCCTGAGATCAACGTCATGAATTTACTGTAAAATAACCCTTTTTAGAGACATATCCTACAAGGATCTAAGATGTATTAAAACCATATAAATGATATACTTCAACCCTCCAAAAAAATCCACTTAGGATAACTTAAGATAATGGTCCTTTGACTTAAAATAATGAAGACTGAGTCCTCCTAGCTCACTGAAAAGACACATTAAATAGCAGGATGAGAAAGCTCAGGCAAGCAGAGGGCACTTGGTGGGTCTCGATGTACCAAGGTCTCCTAGGACTAGGCTCCCACGGGCCAAAGTCGTCTGGCTTTTATCAGTCTCTTCAACTCTAGTAGCACCCCTGATTCCCACTAAGCAGAAGAAGAACCAATAAAAGGGCAGAGCTGCAAAAGGCTTACTGCCTCTAATGTCAGGAGCATGACAGGGCAAGACAACGTCAGAGTTACGTATGTGTCTCAGCTGAGAATGAATCACAGGACTTTGCTTGATAAACTTGGGCTTTACTTCATTCCCACACTGCACACCTTTTCCACAATTTTGAAAAACTTCCATAAACTCCCTGCGCATCAACTTTCCCAAGTACAAAATGGGACACTGCCTTCTTTGTTATGCAACTTCTTCTGTGACAGCCTGGAAAGAATGCTCCTCCAAAGAAAAGAGAATGCATCTTATTTAGCCTTAAAAGGGAAGAAAGCTCTGACAGATGTTATAGCATGGATGAAATGAGTTAAGCTAAGTGAAATGAGCCAAATTATAGGAGGACAAATACATCATGATTCCATTTCTATGAGGTGCCTAGAGTGATTCAGAGAGGAAAGCAGAACAGTGGTTTCTGGGGCCGGGAGGGATGGGGGAATGGAGAATTGTTTAATGGGTACAGGATATTAGTTCTGCAAGATGGAGAGTTCTGGAAACTGGTTGCTCAACAATGTGAATGTGCGTAACACTACTGAACTGGATACTTACAAATGGTTAAGATGGTAAGTTTTATGTTTTGCATGTTTACCACAGTTAGAGATTAAAAACTAAATAAGTAAAATGTACAATGGGTCTAGTACAGTGCCTGGCACCCAGGAGTTAATCAGCCCAAAGTATGAGCACATGAATGGAGAAGGCCCCTCACGTGAGGCAAACGAGGGCTAACTGGCACCGAAGGATCTTCAAACATTTCCAGAAACCGACACAGAGCGTTTGGTGCAATGAGTAAGAGAACCACAAGTGATGGGCGTCAGTGATTACCTGCTAATGCCTAAGGCCTGGTTGACCCTCACGGTACCACCCTTTCTTCTGAGAATTAGACAACATATACCAGATAAAGCCTGTGCAGACATACAGGTCAGGAAAGATAGCTTCTTTTCAGTCAACTCAATCACTGCTGTAGGCTAATGAAAGGAGTGTAACTGCAGAAAGGGGCGCAGGTATTAGGACCACAGACTCCTAAATGCTTTTTCACGGCTTCTTGGATACCACTTTGCAGTTCAGCAGATTACTGATCTAACCAAGCAATGGTATCTTACAGCGTTGGGCACTATCGTAAAGCACAGTCCTATCTGTAAAAGAGCTTGTAAGTTGCCATTAGTAAGTCAGAAAATATTCTGATGAGTCCGTTTGTCTCCGCGCCCTGGATCTCCTGATCCCTTCCACAGGCGGGGCACTGATAGTCACAGGAGGCACAAAGATGAACGAGCAGGCCCTGCTCTTCACCCTCCAAGGCTAGGGAAGGGAAAGAGGCAGGTCACAGAACTTTTTAAAAATGCAGTATGTTTAAGTATTGAGCATTTGTAAACTGAACAAAGGAGCAGTGGTTAAAAAAAAAAAACAAAACCTTGGGGGAATTGAATACATCTTCAAAGGAAAGGTTACTCTTGGGCTAGACTGGGTCTGAGAGGAGGTGGAAATGGAGTATATTTTAGCTACAGGCAAAGTCTTGAAAAAAAACCCACAGATGCATGGGGAAAAAAATGTGTTTGAACAATGGTGAGAAGGTATTTGTAGGCAGGACATGCTGGTGTGTCAGAAGGGGAAACAAGGGGATGGGCAGTAAGACTAGAGAGGTGTGGGTTTGAGTGACCCTGAATATCACCACAGTCTGGCTTTGTCTCTTAGGTTTTAGAACCCTAACTCGTAGGTGGCAGGTAGAAAGAATGACTAGAAAAGAGGACCATTTCTGAGGCTATTACAATAAATTAAGCAAAAGTATAAAGGACTCAAATTAAATGTGTCAACCATATTAAGGGAGGGGGTGTAGGAGTGGCAGAGGGGAGTGCAAAGAGAGACTTCTAGCGTACATGGCTGTGATTACAAGGACCGCTAGAAGAAGGACAAGGCTAGGAGAAGACCAGGTCTCAGTCGGGAACACTTCGTGTAGAAAGTTCAGTATCCTCCTTCATAAAGTGAAGATAAACAACAAATGACCAAACTGAATCTTGGAATTACGAGAATTATATGATAAAACAAATAAAAAGAACATAATCCTATTATTATGTCTAGATTTGTAGATGTATGGGCCCAGAAGGAATCGTTAGGAACTACTGGGACATAAAGTCCGGTCGGAAGTGCTAGGGTTATGAACTCACTCATCCGGGGAGGGGCGTCCTGTAATCCAGGACCAGACCCCGGTGCACAGAACTATGTACATACAGCATGGGGCCTTGGGAGGGAGGCCAGCAAAGGTGACTGAAGGAATGATCCAAATACGGAAATCTGGAGAAAATGGCATCATGGAAGAAAAGAAGTAGTGAATAGCCAAAAGTGCCTCTTTTGGCCAAAAGCTGCTAGAATGAGTGGGTTTAACACTTAGGAGATCAAGTGCACCCTCAGCAAAAGCTATCCAGGGGAGGGGAAGGGGGAAGCACATCAGAGTTCATTGAAGAATGTTGTAGTTTCATGACATATTTTGATGTTGGATAATTCTTTAATTGGGGAAAAATCCATTCTGTAGGGATGGTACACTGAGATTTTACTCTCAGGAGCTATACATACAATTTTTCTACTTTATTTAACTTGGAGAACAGAGAGACTTATGAGTCAGGCTGAGAGAAAATTACTGCTGTCAGGATTCATTAGTACATTGTCTCATGGAGAAAAGAAGACTAGGTCCAGGGAGAAGAGGAAGGAGACAATGAGAATAAAATACAAAACCGCACAAATAAAACTGGAGAAGTTTCTGTAATAACGCAGCAAGTAGGATTAAGCCCGCCCTGCTGGAAGCCAGAGGTGAGCGCCCGTGAGAGCCGGCGCCCACCGGCCAAGAACCGTTAGACACACGTCTGCAAGCACTTCGCAACAGAACCCCTCTTACCTTTCTTTTGATATCGGTGAATTGGGAAAACATTAAAGACCAATATAATGACAGCTCCACCATGTAATAGTAATGAAGGTCAGGTGTGAGTGGCTGAGGGGCAAAGAAAAAAAGAAAACATGAATAGTAAATAGGAAACCCAATCTGTCCCCCAAACACCTCAAGCTCAGTGCTGAAACGTGCTATGGTCTTCTACCCCCACAAATCCTGGCCCCATTCTCCTTGCAGATAGGAGGACTTTGAAGGATGCTCTGATCTCCAGCTTGATAGCCTTGGTTTTCTTTCATCTCCAACCAAAAAACTGTCAGTCAGAATCAGCATTTGGTACCCAATTCACTCTCCATTTTAACAATGGCATTTATGGTTCTTTGACATGAGCATCTGCAAGATTCCTTAGGCAACCTGGAAAAAAAATTCTAACACATTCAGCAGAAATGTGACCACGGACAGCTGCTGAGAGATTTTCCAGTACAGGGACAAGGGAGGCAGGCAACAGGGAGTGTGGTACGCCGTGGGTCACCGAGGCATAGCTTCAGTTCCACATTCAATCAGAGATTTCTTCTTATTAGGAAATGGTCCATTCATTGTAAATATCAAAAAAGATGATTCAAAAATACTTACTTAAATATCAGAGGGACAAGGAAGCCACCAAGAGATACCAGGCTATAAGCACCCAGCCAGGAAGTCAGAGACCAAGCCCCAGTGCCATACCTTAGTAGGTATCCAACTTAGGCCCTAGTTTACTTATTATAAAATGGACACACTCTTTCTCCATGCCTCAGAGGGACAGGAATGGACAGGGCTTCAGAAAGGCAGCAGAAATCAGAATAGTTACTTTGCATATAAATCCATAAAAAAACAGAGCTTTAAAAAACCATTGTCAATGAGTCGTAATTTCATTGAGTTGTAATGAAATGTCTTGCATTACCAGAATGAATGAAAGACCTTTGGAACTCACCACATGTACCCATCACAGGGCTACACACAAGGTCACAGCATCTCGGGGACTCCAGCGAAACGTACACGCTCTACAACCCGCAGCAGCGTTTCACATAAGGCTTTGACAGGCAGCCGGCACTCACCCAACAACCACCTCTGTCACCTCCACCCCTGGGCCTCAAGGAAAGCAGATGCCCGCCTCAGTGAGCTTTGGCAACAAATACAGGAGGGCACAGGATACTCCCGCACCAGCAATCCTAGGCTCTGAGCACCAGTGAGCATCACTGTGTTTCTCAATCCCAGTACCACCTTGGAGAGAATTATTTCCCACTGAATTGTCCTTTTAACATTTGAAGGCATTAGCGAGGAGGGATGGGTATTCCGGGCAGACGTGCGGCAGCCATGAAGTCTAAAAAACATGGCACTTGCATCAGTATCCTTGGAGCCAAGGGTGAATTTCAGTTTTAATGAGGTTCTTACTGCCCACTTCACCCCCCGGGAAAACGCGACCGCGGGCTAGGAGGACAAGGGAGAGCACGTCAGGGGGCTGTGGAGGTCGGAAGGGCGGTCCTGCTGTCATAACTGCACATGCTCACCCAACACGGTAGCTTCTCAGGCTCTCACACAAATCCCACCAAGTTGGTACTATCGTTTTTGAGATTGTGCAGTCTGCAGGAAATTGCTGCCAGTTCATTCAGGATGAGAGCTGACCCCAGGTCTCGCAGCCGCGGAGGCCCTGTAATGGCCACACTAGGGCTTCTCAGTTCCACCTTGTGCTTTTTATCACAAGCTGTCCAAGGCCCAACGGAAGGCAAACTTACAGCATTTTAAACTTAGAATATACATACATATATAAAAAACACTGTAATAAAAATACTCATATACAAGGAACAGTGTGTCTTTAATAAATTTCCCTAGATCATTACTCTTTCATCTAAAAACTTGTTCAGTTGTTTATCTCACATATATGCTAAATACATTCTGTAAATATGTTTCGTGAGCAGGCCCTATCTTTAAAAGTGCTCTTAAGGCTTGAGACTGACAATGAAGTATAATCTATTTATGTGGATAGAGTTACCCACAAAGTGCTATAATTACAGGCATAATCATTATATGCTGTTTTATTTTTGTTACTCACAAAAAGAAAGCAGCTAATTGTTGTTTATTAGAATATGAATTTTGTCAAAGGGGACTGCCTTTTTCACAAGAGATCATGAGTTGGTGCTAGATTTGGGGAGCTATATGCCAAATTACTCATTAGCAAGCAATGTATCTTGTTAGGAAAAGACCGTCTTGATCTGAATCCCCACACACAGTATCTTTCCTCCTACACTAGTGTTTCCTGTTTTCAACCATAACTGCATCTCCCATAAGTGTCCATGTTTTGTGTAGTTGTCTCTGAAATAGTCTGCAAGCACGTTTTGGGCCATTGCCCTAGCAACTAGCTTTCTCAGAAATCAGCAGTTCCTTCACTCCAGCCATAAACATGAATGCTATTCCAAATGACGTCACAGTCACCCAGAAGAGTATCACATTTCAGGTGGCATTTGTCTCAATATTGCTCATGTGACACAATTTACCTCATCACTGCAGTGCACTTGAGCAGCTGCCACTCCAGCCTTTGAGTTAAGGTTTCTAGAAGGCTTTGATGTACTTTTACAAACAGAATCCTAGATATATGTGGGTTTTTCCATGCAGTATACCGTTACAGGACACCAACAGAACTGTGAATGACAATATCCCAGGTATTTAAGAAAGTGACACAGCAGCCGGGCCGGAGAATCACAACTGTGTGTAGTAAGTGAGTGGTCACCAGGGTGTCTTGGCCTCTAGCGGACAGCCCTGGCGCGACCAGCTCTCTCTAACCACGCTTGTTTACATTCCTCCGCACTGTGGGAGACTGAAACGCAAACTGGAATTCCATTTCAATGAGTCCCTAGCCTTGAACTTGCCCAAGGAATTTCCAGTGCAGTGCCTACCTCCTGCAGCAACACAGGGAATATGCGGAGCTGGCCGCTTCCCATTAACCCCATGTGCACCGAACAGCCCAAAGGCCTCTAAACAGACAACCCAACAGAACCCAAGTCAGACTCAGCGGTCCACGGTGCTGATCAGATGTATGTCTCTTCACTTTATCACTAAAATACCTCGTTGCATTTGATTCCCCTATATAACATATCCCTATCGAGGTAGAAATGTGAACAATTTTCAGCAAGAAATCACTAGAAAAGACCCAGTTTTGATATTCAAATAGTAACTGGTCTGGGGACCACAACAAATGCTCCTATTACTGAATTCATGGAAGGCCAGTGGTGTGTCAGCGGAGAGGGACTAAATTGCTCCCTTTCTGGGGTCGGACTTTAATCTAATTTTTCAGGCTTTCTGTCATCTGTGAGTAATGGGACAAGCCCATTCTTCTGTGCTCAAGAAAATTACGCTTTAAACACTGCTTCCTCAGCCACAAAGAGAAGGCACGCAGCACGCCTGCGCCAGCCCCACCCTGGGGCTCCACCTGTTGGCCTGCGCTGCCGCCAGGCCCTCAGGCTTTCCACCATAATGACCAGCTGGCTGGCTGTTAGGAACAGGGCTCACCACCTCTGGGACTGGCTGCATCCTACTCTCCAGCAAAGGCACCTGTCACCCTAGGCTGCATCCGGCATCAAGCAGCAGGGGTGGGAGGGGACAGGCAGGGACCAGGGGCCTGCGAGGACCTGCCTGAAACCATGCCACTGACATAAGGAAGATCCTCCTCGTGTGTGAAAAGCTGGACAGCCATGCGTCCTTACCTGGTAGGGGTAGTTGTACCAGCAGTTCCTTGTGTTCCACAGCCAGGGTGTCTGAAAAAAATAACAAAGAAACACATTTTACACGCGTTGGAAATGAAGCAGGCTGAGAGATGCTCATGACAGGTTCTTGTCTCCCAATATTTTGGGATTTCAACAATCCACCTGTGTGAGAACGAAAAGACTTAAAACCATCAGAAATAGGATGGGAAGGCCATTCGTATTCCATTCATTCTCTCTGGGTGATCTTCTAGACTCAACTGGCAGTATTTCAGGCTACCTCTAGGATGGAGTCCTGGCTGCTGTTTTTTATATTTTGCTGTAATCAGCCTCAACAGCAGAGCTCTTCAGGGGTCTCGCCTCGGCCAGATGCAAATCATCAGTCTCACTCTCATCAGTAAACAATGCCGACCATTGGTGCAAACCACCTTGACACTCCTCCAGCCCAATGTTTCCAAAGCAACATTATTAATCAATTGCTTCAAGTTTTGGCCAGGTAAACATCTTATTTCAGCAGGACTGCTCAGACTAATTTCAGCCCTGAGGGAATCAACCCTCACAGCACACTCCATCCCCTGGTTTATGGTCAAGTTCTTCTAAAGACAAAACTATCTTTCTGAATTTGATGGCAATCATTTGCCTTAAAACACTGTAAAATCAGAGAGGACATCTAAGTATCCACGCAGATTCCAAACATTTGCAATAAGCAGGGAGGGTCTGGTATATATTGAAACAGACTGCTGGACAATCGAGTAATAGCAACACAAGCATTCTCCTGTATTTGTATTATCTTTGTAATTCTTTTGCATTCCAGATCTTATTAAGAAACAGTCACTCTATCATTGATCCCTTCCATGTATGTGTTTGTATATCTCAAAAAAGAAGAATATTGTCATTGAAAGATTCATGTTAGATATGTTTGTATTGACCTATCTTTCTCATCTTGTCGCAGACCTCGTAAGATCACAAACTGCCGGCCTCTGCCAACAAGACACTGTAGTTGTCCCCCTGAGAGTCATACGGACACCCTGGCACCCCATTATCATCCTCATCAGGCCTGAGCCAAAGAGAGTGAGGGTGTGGTGTTAGCTAACATTTGAGTTCTCCCCATGTGCACACACCTTTTCCTCAAGGGTTTTTTTCTCCATGATCTGTTACTCACTGACCCAATTAAAAAGTTGTTTACCTTTAGACTATCTCATACACTTTTAAAGGATCATAGCTATGAACTCACTTTCCCAGTTTTTTATGTCTATAAATAACTGCTCAGGTTAAGTAGCCAGGCAGTGCCAGAGGTGGAAATCAAACTGACCGTCTGGTCCTAAACCCAAATGTCGCCACTGTGCACCCTGCCTCTGAGTCTGATGGAAACTGAGGCAGGCCTCTGTTGAGGAAGCCTGAACTACAGTAAAAAGTCACTCTATGCCCTAAACCTGAAAATGTCCAGGGATCTTTATATTCTCCTTTCATTCAAGCACTACTGACCCACCTTCTTTTTGCCTGGCTTAGCCTTTTGCTAACTGTTCAGCACTGTACATATCACGCAGTCTCACTGCACGGAATGTCCCGGGGGCCTGCCTGTCTCCTCCACGTCTCCCCTCCAAACACCGATGTGCGTCACCAACTGGCCTCACAGGGTGGTCGCGAGGCTCAAGTGAGAAAGCATGTATGAAAATACTTCAGAGGCTTCAAAAGTTTGATATGTTGTCATCTTCTAGTTACATAAACAACACATGTCTCTTGAAGAAGACAGAGAAAATACAGAAAATGATAAAAAAAATTGAATTCTGATCACTATTAACATTTTCATGCACATCCCATCTTTGGCCTTTTTCTATGTAATATAGACATGAATTGATTTGTTTTTCAGCACACACATATATGCAAAATTTTTAAATGTGGGCACAACACACCAGACACTATTTTAAAGTACAGAACAAATGTTAGTTACTACCTTTCTCTCTGATAAAGTTGTTTATTATCTCCAAAATTAGCTGAAGGTCCCGGAGGGAAAGTTGTGTCATCTGCATTTGTTTATCCCCCGGCATCTACACAGAACTGACAGTTCAGTATTCATTTACTGAATGCTAATGAAAAGGAACACAGACCTAAATGCTAGGCCTAAAACAAGCATCATAGTATTTTTCTGAATTTATCAGATCCAAGCCCACAGGGCATGTGTGTGCTTGTCTTCAAAGAGGCGGTGGGAATCCCTTCCGCTGCGGCCATCTCTTCCAGCCACAGGCCAGAGAGCGCCTGTGTGACTCCCAGTGACCCAGAAAAATCCGTCATGTACAGCTTTCCCTCCTCGGTGGGTTTCTTGGCTCCCTGGTTTTCTTCTAACATGCAGGCTTTTCCCTGTGTGCATTCCATGTGCATCACCAAGACCTGCCTCTTCTTATACGACGGGACCTGACTGACCTGCAGCAATACTGGATGAATCTCTGCTCTCAGTGGGCCCTCACCCCTGAAGCAGGACCCAAGGGTCTAGACATGGTGAAATTGATGGAGTTCCGAAGCTCAGCCTGCAAGCTTATTTGCCAAACTTTTTAACAATAAGCTCTTTCACATACGATGCAGGTTCACACATACCTCCCACTTTGACAACACCAGATATCAATACCACCCTGTTTATGCACACTGCATTTTTCTAAGATTGCATGTTATACATACCCCCAAACCCTGTCAAACAGGTTGAATAAATATGATTTTTCTCAATTTACAGATTAGAAAATTTAAGTCCATGAGAAGGTGACTCTCCTAATTTTTTATATAGCTCAACACTGGTGGGTGACTCTGGATTAGCTGCTTGTCATGTAACACATTAGGTATAACTTCTTTAATGTGAATTGATACCAGGAGATTATCTTTTTTTAATCAATTTTATAAATTTTTCCATTTTCTGTTTTTCTAGGTATCTTTTTCTGAATTAGTTCCACATTTATTTGATGTCAAGATCTATATATTCCAGCACACCAATTAAGGGATAATAATATATAAGCATAATGTAAGAACATAAAAAGCTGAAACATTAAGGTGTCAAAAAGAATACTGGGGATAAAAAAACGAAATGCTGAAAATCCCATTTAGAGGGATGGGCCAGGCATCTTCCTAGAAAAAAAGTTCTGTACCGAGGATAGCAAACCCCAGTTCAAAGCACACTTTCCAGAAACAGACACACCTTTTTCACATGGCTTTACAGTATCAGTCAATGTTACCAAGGTTAGAAAATCTAACCCAAGGATTCTCAAATCTGTCATTCCAATAACATAAGATTTACATTATTATTTCCCACCAACAGTGGGCATTTGGAGTTGGTTATCCAAAAGGAGTTACATTTAAAAATTGACTTTTAGGGTTAGAAAAGACCTCCAAATCCTGTTTAATCTACAAAAGGAGCCACATGTCTAGATGGGTAAGTGCCTCCGATTATTAAAGAGCTCATGGTTATCAGCCACCAACAAGATCCCTCAGGTTTACATCCTGCTTGTTTTTCTTGGTGAACAGAAATTATATTAACAGTTTTTTTGGTTGTTTTGATATCTGTTATGGACTGAATTGTGTGCCCCCTACCTCAGTTCATAGATTGAAGCCATTAATACCCAATGTGACTATTTAGGCCTTTTGGAGGTAATAAAGGTTAAATGGGGTCATAATGGTGGGGCCCCAAGCTAAAAGGAAGAGGAAAGAAGAGCAATCTCTCTCTCTCTTTCCTCAAAGGCTCGCAAGGAAGGCCATGTTGGGAACGCAGCGGGGTGACCGGCAGGCAGACAGGAAGGCCAGAAGAGAGCTCAAACTGGAAACAAACCCTGCGGGCCCGTGGTCTGGGACTTCCAGCCTCTAGAGGTGTGAGAGATAGGTAGCTGTTATTTAAGCTACCTAGTCTTTGTATTTTGTTAGGGCAGCCTGAGCTAACACAGCATCTTAAGACCACTCTTCGTAAGTGGTGCTGATAGCTATTAAATACACATCAACTAATTTTGATTTAAGAAGACATATAAAACAATGTGAAGTCTAAGACAGAGTGTGACACGGTGGATGAGACATGACTTCCAGCATTCTCAATCTAAACAGCAGCATGTAATGGGATTTTTCATCAGAACATGCACATCTGCCCCCAGACACATCAGCTGAGACACAGCTCAGCAGAAGCACCCCACCAATCACACGGTGCCCCACGCAAGGCTCCTGCGGCTGCCCCTCCCCGGAGCAAACCCAGCCCCAGCACCAGGGTGGTCTAGGTCAGCTACGCTGCTGTCATCCTGTAGTCCTCATCTGCATTTTGACCATGTGCATGAGACTTGAGTGCTAGTTATTTTGTGATTTTTATAAAAGAGAAAAGCAACAAAGCCATTTTAGGTGTCAGTAAATCTGCTCTTTTATCAGGTTCCTTTTTTTTCAGTTGTTCTGTAGAGCTTTCATTGTGAACAGAACTAAGAAGCAAATAGATGAGGTCTGATCATTTCACTTTGCCAACTAGAATAAGATAGCTTTGGTTGTATTTTTTATTTGTTTAAAGTTCCATTTGACATATTTCTTAAAAATATAGTTTAAAGGAGGGGGTGGAGCCAAGATGGCGGCATGAGTAGGACAGTGGGAATCTCCTCCGAAAAACATATATATTTTTGAAAATACAACAAATACAACTAATCCTAAAAGAGAGACCAGAAGACACAGGAAAACAGCCAGACCACATCCACACCTGCGAGAACCCAGCGCCTCGCGAAGGGGGTAAGATACAAGCTGCGGCCTGGCAGGACCCGAGCGCCCCTCACCCGAGCTCCCAGCGGGAGGAGAGGAGTCAGAGTGGGGAGGGAGAGGGAGCCCAGGACTGCTAAGCACCCAGCCCAGCCCTCCAGACCAGAGCACAGACACAGAGCATGCATTGGGTGCTGGAAACTAGGGAAACAGGGCAGCAAGATCTTTGGGCAGGTCCCGAAGCCAGCACCCCTGTGACAAAGAAAAGTGAGTGCTTTTTGAAAGTCTTAAAGGGACAGGGACTCCACAGCTGGACGGAAGCATCCCGGGTCATAGTCCAGCAGCTGGAAATTCCA